CGACCACCAACACTGTACCCACTCCCCCCGAACTCCATATTCTACTTGCTGTCCCTGTAGGGACATCAATCCTGGGCTTCATATACCAAAATATGGAAAGGGAGATCTCAATTTTACCGAATCTTCAAAGGACTAGCTCTGGTTTTGTTGATTTTCTCGACTTGACCCACTTTTGAAAGAAACAGAACATGACAGATGAAACTTAAAACCCCAGCAGTCACCTCCAGAAACCTACTCCCCCTTTTACCCTTCTAGAGGCATCCACTGTCTTGGGCGCTTCCTTTGGGTCCTTGTCCTACCACGTGAAGAGAGTCTTGCTCACTGACGCTCCTCTGCTGAGTCTCTCGGTTTACTCACCGTGCTTCCTGCCTCTGCGGCCAGCCGGGCGGCATAGCGAGCAATAAGCCGGTGCTCCTCGTCCAGGCGGCCAGGACTGTCCAGGACGCTGCCAGGGAGATAGAAACCCGACAGGTGTCTATTAAACAGCCCCTACGCTCATTCCACTCTTAGAGACAACAGGCCCAAATCAAACCAGACCACCACACCCACTGCCATGGAGTTGATTCGACGAGGGGCAGGCTTGTGGGGTTTCCAAGACTAGAAATGGCCCCTCTATGGGTGTGGACAGCCTTGTATTTCTCCCTTCCCGTGAATTCGGAGCTCAGCCTGTGTTTAAGAAGAAGTGAAAGCTAGAGCATCAGGAGAAATAGAGGATGAGGGAAAAATGAGACTCAAGGTTGGCCGGGCGAAAGTGCAGAACCGGGCCGAGAAGGCTTCCGCTAGTGTAAAGCTGGAGAAGAGCCATGGCATCAGAGTCTCTTTCAAGGCCACGGTCTCTTCTTTCACGGTGGCCATTCCACAGCGGCCCGATCTTACAGCGAGTTTGTTGGCTTTATTATTTTTTATCAAGAGTACCAGGTTAAAAAATTCTTGGTTAGAATTTAGCAGTGATACATAAACACCTCAAGACTTGGGTTCATTATTTACCACATCTTGTTATTATTAGTGAGGGAGATTCTGAGAAGGGTGAGGTTAAATCGAGAAAGACCTGTCGGACCTTC